TCACAGTGAGGCTGATAAAACGGAACACAGGCTATGGCAAATAAAATGCAAGTCTGAGGTCAGGCAGGCAAAAAGGGAATATGAGGAGCATATAGCAAAAAACGTAAAAACCAACAATAAAACTTTCTTCAAATACATTAGAAACAGGAAACCAGCCAGGGAGGCAGTGGGGCCCTTGGACGACCAAGGGGTAAAAGGAGTATTGAAGGATGATAGGGAAATGGCTGAGAAGCTAAATGCATTTTTTGCCTCCGTCTTCACTGTGGAAGATGAGAAGTGCTTGCCCACTCCAGAACCACTGATTTCAGGAGGGGTGTTGGAAGACCTGAGTCAGATTGAGGTGATGAGAGAGGAGGTCCTAAAACTGATAGACAACTTAAAAACTGAAAAATCACCAGGCCCAGATGGCATACATCCGAGAGTTCTGAAAGAACTCAAATGTGAACTTGTAGATCTCCTGACAAAGATATGTAATCTTTCCTTAAAATCTGCCTCCATTCCTGAGGATTGGAAGGTAGCTAATGTCACTCCCATCTTTAAAAAGGGTTCCAGAGGAGATCCGGGAAATTACAGGCCAGTCAGTCTGACGTCGATACCGGGTAAATTGGTGGAAACCATTATTAAGGAAAGAATTAGTAGGCACATAGATGAACAAAACCTATTGAGGCAGACTCAGCACGGTTTCTGTAAGGGAAGATCTTGTCTCACTAACCTGTTAGTGTTCTTTGAGGGGGTGAACAAACATGTGGACAAGGGGGATCCAATAGATATTATTTACCTTGACTTCCAGAAAGCTTTTGATAAAGTTCCTCATCAAAGGCTCCTAAGTAAGCTCAAAAATCATGGGATAGAAGGACAAGTCCTTTTATGGATCAAAAACTGGCTAGTTCATAGAAAACAGAGAGTGAGTGTAGGTGGGCAATTTTCTCAGTGGAGGGTGGTAAGCAGTGGGGTACCGCAGGGATCAGTACTTGGTCCACTGCTTTTTAACTTGTTCATTAATGATTTGGAGATGGGAGTAAGCAGTGAAGTGGCTAAATTTGCGGATGATACAAAGTTGTTCAGGGTGGTGAAAACCAGTGAGGATTGTGAGGCACTCCAAGGGGATCTGTCAAGGATGGGCGAGTGGGCGTCAACATGGCAAATGGGGTTCAATGTGGCCAAGTGCAAGGTGATGCACATTGGAGCCAAAAATCCTAAATATAAATACACATTGATGGGGTCTGAACTGGCAGAGACTGAGCAAGAGAGAGATCTTGGAGTTGTAGTGGATAACTCACTGAAAATGTCGAGACAGTGTGTGACTGCAATAAAGAAGGCCAATGCTATGCTGGGGATTATTAGGAAGGGTATTGAAAACAGATCAGCCAATATAATAATGCCCCTATATAAATCAATGGTGAGACCTCATTTGGAATACTGTGTGCAGTTCTGGGCACCACACCTTAAAAAGGATATTATAGCTTTGGAAAAAGTGCAGAAAAGGGCAACTCGAATGATAAAAGGGTTGGAACACTTTCCCTATGAGGAAAGGTTAAAGCGCTTAGGGCTCTTTAGCTTGGAGAAAAGATGACTGAGGGGTGACATGATCGAGGTTTATAAGATTATGCATGGGAAAGAGCAGGTAAAGAAAGAGGTACTTTTCTCCCTTTCTCACAATACAAGAACTCGTGGGCACTCCATGAAACTGCAGAGCGGTCGGGTTAGAACGGATAAAAGGAAGTACTTCTTCACCCAAAGAGTGATTAACACATGGAATTCACTGCCACAGGAAGTGGTGGGTGCTACAAGCATGGACGGCTTCAAAAGGGAATTAGATAAGCATATGGAGCAGAGGTCCATCAGTGGCTATTAGCCACAAGGTATAGCTAGGGGCTCTGGGGCAAGTGATGCTCTGTCTTCTTGGTGCTAGGGGGGGGGGGTCAACAGTGGGAGGGCTTCTAATGTCCTGGCCCCACTGCTGGACCTCCTGATGGCACTGGTATTTCTGGCCACTGTGTGACACAGAGTGTTGGACTGGATGGGCCTTTGGCCTGATCCAACATTGGCGTCTCTTATGTTCTTATGTTCTTGTGCCATGGTTCCAGACCCACACAGCTGCTATTTGCCTTTAAAAATGATTGGGAAGACCTACTGCCTTGTCTAAGTAGATCCTTAATGGTAAAGGGTACCACTGAGTTGAGGGGACTCCATGAAGTTCCACCTCTTGGGGGTTTCAAGGCAAGCGATAAGCAGGGTTAGTTTGCCACTGCCTTCCTCTACATAGAATCCCCAGCCTTCCTTGGTGGTCCCCCATCCAAGTCCTAACCATGGCGGGCCCTGCTTAGCTTCCAGGCTGGCCTGGCCTATTAGGGCTGCTAGTAAGACGCTTAGAAGATCCCAAAATCTTCATTCTGGTTCGTACTCTAACCAAACAAGACCAAAAAACCCTGTCATGTACACATTATTTTTTGTAAGGCTTTCACGGCTGGCATGTTTTATTCTGAATATTTTTTCCTGCAGAATTCTGAATGTCACGGAAAGCAGGTGTGAGGTGGCAGATGGAAAGAAGGTCAGATCGAGGAAGAGAAGCATCACTGGAGGCCCAGAACTGCAGGCAGCTTCATCACCTGATTGCAGGTTTTACTGATGGTTATTTTACTGCTTGGTTTTTTCTTGTGCTCGAGGTGGGATATAAATATTTGAAGCAAATATGTAAGTAAATCAGATGGTCTTGCAAGAAGCCTAGATCACAGTGCTTTCCTAATATTGACTGAGAGCCATATATCAGGACATATCACCACCACAAACCTAAAAGTGTTTCATATCCATTATACTGTTTCTCCTGTGAATTGCAGTTTGGTAGAACGACTGAGAATTTAATTCTCTGGTAGAGGTCTTATCATAAAATATAGAGGAAGAAAAAAGAAGAGATTGGATTTATACCCCGCCCTTCACTACCCAGAGGAGTCTCAGAGCAGCTTACAAACTCCTTTCCCTTCCCCTCCCCACACCAGACACCCTGTGAGGTAAGTGGGGCTGAGAGAGCTCTGACAGAAACTGCTCTTTTTCAAGAACAGCTGTGCCAGAACTATGGCTTGCCCAAGGTCACCCAGCAGCTGCGAGTGGAGGAGTGGGGAATCAAACCTGGTTCTCCCAGATTAGAGTCCGCACACTTAACCACTATACCAAACTGGCACCAAACCTAGCTCCTAGGTTTTGCTGGGGAGAAATAAGAAGTAGTTTGTCTAGAATGAAGATAGGCTTTTTGATTTTAATACGATAAACGTTCAAGACGTGCCTTCAGCAGGCACCTCCACTGTTCAGACAACCTGGCCTTAAACTAAGATGCATCCCTCACTCCAAACAAATTTACTATTGGAAATATGAATGTACACATATTCATATAAATATTTATACCCCACTTTTCCCCCCATGGGGACCCAAAGCACTTGACACCATTTTTCAGCCTTCTTGCAGGTTATCCACACTGGAACAAGCCTGCGAGGTAGGTGAGGCTGAGTGTGTGTGACAGGCCAAAGGTCACCCAGCGGGCTTCCACGGCAGAGCTGGGATTCAAACCTGGATCCCTCAAATCATGGTCTAACACTCCAACCACTGCTCCACATTGGTGTAAGCTGGTGGATTCCTGTTAATGACTCATGCTTTTCCTTACATGGAGTGGACCATAACGGGAGCACGTTTTCTGCACGAAACTTGCTGAAACACACAGGGGTAATATTTTGATTAGGTGCGCACCGGGGGGACATTAGCGGGCCGCAACAGTGACTAATCAGCAGAGTTTTGACGAGTCACGACTCTGCCCCATTTCATTGATTACAATGATATTTAGCTGTGACCGAATGCGACCGAAATGGCTAACTACCTGGGTTTACACTCAAGGCCCCAGGGAGCAAGAACAAACTGATCCTGGCAGTCTCCTGTAAAGTTGAGAGAGGAGGGAGGGAGGGAGGGATACTGAAGGGTACAGGGACCGGTGGAAATAGGGAACTGAACCCTTCCCTGCTTTCCCACCATATTTTTGAAACGTGGTGCCCCCCCCCCCGGTGTGGGTTACCCGATTCCAGAGCCTTGCCCCCTAGGGATTTAGCAGCAAAATCAATTCTGTGCTTCTCCCATCATATCTAATTTGATGCTTTGTGCACCTGTTGAAATTTTAAGTTTCTTTCTGTCTTAAAAATTATATGGCCCTGAGTTCCTCTGGGGGTATGCATATGACAAAACCCCTATGTACTTGAAAGGAAGACTACTGTTTCCCCAGACAGGGTGTCAAAAAAACAGAGTTTTGTCTTAGGGGGTTGGGTTCACATAGTTTAGGACATGTGGAACTCGACAGTATGGCAAAGAAGTCCCCCGTGGCTGTTGGCGCTCGGGAAAATAATTCAGGAAGGGAGGCTTAAGCCCTTTGTCTCCTCCCACAGCAGCAGTGAGCAATGGAAGGTGAATTTCCCAGTCATACAGGTGACTTAGGATTGTCAGACATCATGCCTCTCTAGGAAACAACGGAAACTCTATGGTTAAACCATAGCCTCTCTGGCAACTCCTAGAGAGGACTGATGTCAATTCTGGGTTTTCCCTGCAAGTGACGTGATGCCATTGCCCAATGGCAATTTGTTTAGAAATGGGAGGGGCTTGGGAGCCCTAAGTGACCGCAAGTCAGGTCTGGGGACCCCTGAGCTGGTGTGCATCACATGCCTCATGTAGTTAGGTTCTTATTCATACACAAATTGCAGGACTGTATGGCGAGAACAACCTTTTTGGATGTAACCATTTCTAGCGGGGGTTGCCTGACATTCAGTATTGCCTTCGTTTGGATAAACGCAGGTATATAATTATAGAATTATCATTTCAAAAAATTCTTTCCTCCAGATGTTCAAGATTTGTTAGCCCCATCATTCCCTACTGTGGTACCCACGGGAAGGCAGAAAGTTGCGGGATGGCGGCAGGGGCTGCGTAGCATGCAACGAGAAACCGATGCACACTCAGGAAATCAAGCTTACCCAGCAAGTTCACCGCCCTGGGCCTGGGCCTGGCCTGCAATGGCATCCATGATAGCATCTTGAGAATACATGCTGATTGGGGTGTTATACTGAGCGTGAATGATAGTGGCCTTGCCACCGGGCCCTTTCACTTCAATGGGTTTGTGCGTAGACAGAGCAGAATCCTTCAGGACGTTGGGATTGAAGCGCTCCACGTACTCCGTGCTTGGGTGGGAGAGTTTCAGGGAAGTGAAGGGAAGAAAGGAGAAAAAGTGATAGTTAAAACAGAAAGGAGGAGGGCAAGCCGTGGAAGGAGGAAGCGTCCAAAGAAACACACATACACACACATTTTCAGGGGCAGCTATGGATCAGACAACTGCCAAATGAAAACAGGCACCGGAGGAGGAGCTCACCTCTTCCCCAGAGAATGCAACTGACGCCTTTGTGAGCAGAAGAGAGAATCACAGGCGACCAGTGCAGTCAATACGAGCATTTCTGCGCTATTAGGTTTTGGTGTTGTGCTTGCTTGTTGGACACTGGTGATGCGTCTTCCCCTAGGGCCTGTGCTTCTGTGACAGGAACAGTGTCATTTCCCAGCACTTAATGGATAAATGTATTATCTGTGGGGAAATCCATTACTTCCCCACCCTGAGCACATATATTAATGTCATGGTCATCATGGGAAACACGCTGGTGGTGCAAATGTTGTAGGCACCTGTTGCGATGTCTTTGGTGATGCAATAAGGATAAGCAACACAACTCCTGTTGCATGAACTTCTTTCCATTTTTTTTTAAGTTGAAAGAAAATCCTTCAGTCGTGGTGTCCTTCCCCTCTCTGTGCAGCCTGAGACCGCTTCTGCATTGTCGTTTTTGTCACTCGTTTGTCCCTATGGCTTCGGGTCTCCCCCCTTCCATAGGTGCTTTGCTCCCTCTGGGACCCAGCTTATTTTGCACCCTAGGTGAGGATCCCTTCTGGCGCTCCCCCCCCCCCATGTGCCCACCAATTTTCAAAAATAAATGCATTTTAGGAAGAATGAAAAACACAAATAATCAAGAAACTCCCAGAGTACAGGGCCGGGTGCAGCTTGACGCCCCTAAGGGCCAGCGCTCTAGGCGATCGCCTAGTTCGCCTAGTGAGTGAGCCGGCCCTGGACTACTAGAGAGAGCAAACACATTGGGGGTGGAAAAATCCTGGAGCTATAGGGACAAACAAGTGACAAAAATGACAACGAGGAAGAGCCCTGAGTGACGGAGTGCTCAACTAACACCCTTATTTAAGTGTCAAAGAAGTGCAAGACTCCTCGCTGTCCTGGGTGCTCATATTTTTACGGGACTGTATACTTCCCCCTCTTCCACATGAAGAGACAAGATTTATATTTTACAAACGGGGTGAACAGCAGAACAGCTGATCCCCTGCGGCAAGGATATCTCCCCAGCCACGGAATTTGGGTGGTATCCTAATAACGGCATTGGATGGAGGGGGGCTGTGGAGGACATTACACAAAGAATAAAAAATGGTTTGTGCGGCACTGTAGAAAAGCCGGATGAAAAACAACTACCAATTAAGAATTTTGTGGGTTAAACCCTCACACGCTACATTAGCATAACGAGGAGCAAGTTTTCCACCAGACCTTCCAGCCAAGACGAAATTCTTCGAGTTAATGTTCTGTGAACAAAATCTTTTGGTCCTTTTAAAATACCCTTCGGTACTATTTGTACAGGAGACAACAAACGAAGTGTTAGCCGTTTGCTCACATCTCTAGCGCTAGCAGAGCTGACGCGCAACGTTAGTAGCATGCTGCTGATTAAAGAGAACGCTGGCCGATCCATGTTCACCTACAGAGACTCCTCTCACAAGCAATACGATGTAATATGTTGATATTTGTTATTGCTCTTTTTAATCTGTTGCAATTTTATGTAAGCCTCCCTGAGCCTGCCCTGGTGGGGAGTGCGAGGTACAAATCAATCAATCAATCAATCAATCAATCAAATAAATAAATAAGACCAAAGGCACTTTTATGCAGTTATAGAATACACAATATTGGTGGAGTGGGCTACCCTGAAATTGTATAGATCTCTAAAATGGGTCACCAGCGGGGTGCCCACGGTCACCCTGGTGCCCGACACCTTTCCTGGTGCCCCCCCAAGTGTTTTGAGAAAGTGGGTGGGGCCCGGTGGGGTTTTTGCCCAGCAGGAGTTCTGATTGGCCATTGAAGCTCCGATAGGCAGTGCAGATTTTTTCAAAGTGACTTCTGCAACAGCTGCCACCGCGGCACCAGGCTCTTCGCTGCATTACCGTGCGTATATGAGAAAATATTTTAAAACAATATATTCACTTTAAAAGGCATCATGCCGAACAGAGCTTCTGCCTGGAACGTTGAAGAGTTGCTGCTAGAGTTATGCCTCGCTGTATTGCTCAATGTTTTGTGTTGGCTCTACTCTGAGGCAGCCATTTTGTAGTCGGCTCTGTCCACCTCCTGTGGTGGCCATTTTGTGTGGTTGCGCCCACCCCCGTGTGCCGGAATCCCAAAGGTGCCTGCAGGCTTGAAAAGGTTGGAGACCCCTGTTCTGAAAGATGCTCCTCTCCCCAATATGGAAACAGTAGTCAGGGGAACGGAACCTCCTCTTATAAACTGTCGTGGCTTTGGTTTCCTGGATTTTTGCACGTTTACTTCGAAGAACGTTTAGTGGCGCTCGTTCTCAAGTAAATATGGAAATGATTCTGATCTTAGTTTGCCTTGTCTCAGAGGCAACCATTTTTATTTGAATTGTATTAGACTGCAATGGCTCAGAGGTTAAGACACTGAGCTGCAGACTGGAGGGTCTGCAGTTTGGCAGTTCGAGACCCTAGTGCAGTGGTGGTGAACCTATGGCACGGGTGCCAGAGGTGGCACTCAGAGCCCTCTCTGTGGGCACGAGTGCCATCACCCCACCCAGGCCAAGCCCATCATTAAAGTGTCAAATTCTCTGCCAAATAATTTTAAGTAAATGAAAGCATTTGGGATTGCTTTCCTTACTTTGTTTGGATCATCTTAAGTTAATGTATGAGTTGTTTTTTCTAAAGTAAAATCTCAGTATTCAGGTTAAATTGCCGTGTTGGCACTTTGCGATAAATAAGTGGGTTTTGGGTCGCAGTTTGGGCACTCGGTCTCTAAAAGGTTCTCCATCACTGCCCTAGTGCCATATGATAGAGTGAGCTCCTGTCTCTGGCCCCAGCTCCTGCCAACCTAGCAGCTGGAAACTGCAAACAGATAAATAGGTAACACTTCGGTGGGAAGGTAACAGCATTCCATGCACCTCGGCGTTTAGTCATGCCAGTCACATGACCACAGAAATGACTTCAGACAGCGCTGGCTCTTTGGCTTGGAAATGAGCACCACCCCCTAGAGTCGGATTCAACTGGCTTTCGAGCAAGGGAAACCTTTACCTTTTTTTACATATAGTAGGCCAAATATTTGTGATGCAGAAATTGAAAAACAGCTGCGGTATCAGAAAAGGGGAAGGTAGGTTTCAAAAAGGATAATGGCTTTGAAAAGCTTTGAACTAGGGACACGGCCAACAGGTATGGTTTTTTTCATGTCACTGCAAGCCATGAGACAGGAGAATCAGCACCTGTGCAGCATTTGGCTCCCTCCAAATTGTGAAAAGGACGGGAGCCTCTGTTCTCTGGGGAGTACAGGCTTGTGAAGAAACAGAGCATTTTAAAAGGTAAATGGTATGGTTTAAACAATACAGGGCATGCAGAGATACTGCAAAAGGACAGCAACCTCCAATGACATAAGCAACATGCACCACAACCAAAAAAACCATTGGAAGCAACACTTTAAGGCAGTTCATATATTAGCCTCTCAACACGGTATCTAATGTACGGGAAGCCTCAGTTCGCCTTCAGTGGGCATTTAAACAGCCACTGCAATTGCCTATGGCTCACGACGTTACAGGTCACCCTTGCCATTCTCTTAGCAAGGAAACAGCTACTGCCACCCAGCCTAGAAGTGGCATCCCAAGCAGAGTTACACGCTCCTTCTAATAAACAGTTAGGAACTGGTCACCACTACAGGTGCCTGGAGGCTCTCTTTTGTGCAGACACAAAGGGACTTTTCTAGATTAAAAAAAAAATACATTTGCAAGGACTTCAAAATAAAATGCCTGGAAGAAATGAAAAGTTTAGGGATATTCTTAGAACGATGGGTACAATACAGAAATGGCATTTCACGACTGCCGTCATCAGTCAGCTCTTTTAAAATGCATGCCACTCACAAGCACACAGAGCAGCAACGAACAGCCTCATGCTACCCCAAGAGGGGGCAAACCGGCCAAGCATTTAACACTGACACACTGTTCAATACTAACTTGGCACTAGTGTTGGCTATGACCTGGAGGGGGAAAAAGAGAGACAATCAGACCCACAGATTTGACGAGTATATATGAAACAAAAAGGAGACTCATCGCATGTTCAGGATGTGGCAAGAACCACTAAATTGTAGGACAATAAAAGGAGATTATGCAAAATCACAGAGGATGGGTCTATCAATGAGTACTTCTTCACCCAAAGCGTAATTAACACTGGAATTTACTGCTGCAAGAAGTGGCAGCGGCTACAAGCACAGACAGCTTCAAGAGGGGATTGGATAAACATAGGGAGCAGAGGCCTATCAGCGGCTATTAGTCACAAGGTACAGATAATAGAAGCATAGATTGGAAGGAACCTCTGGAGTCATCTAGTCCAACCCCCTGCACAATGCCGGAAATTCACAAATACCTCCCACTCCACACCCTCAGCGACCGCTGTTCCATGTCCAGAAGATGACAAAAACCCCACCAGGATCTCCAGCCAAACTGGCCTGGAGAAAAATTGCTTCTTGACCCCAAAGTGGCAATCAGCATTTCCCTGGGCGTGAGAGGGCAACAAGAACTAAGCACTGAGGCAACCCTTCTTGCCCTCCCTTTCATGATCTAGATGGAACACTAGGTCTGGGGCAGTGTTGCTCTGTCTTCTCGGTGCTTAGTTAGTGAGAACGGGGCAACAGTGGGAGGGTTTCTGGACTTCTGGCCCTGCTGGTGGACCTCTTGGTGGCACCAGGTTTTTGGCCACTGTGTGACACAGAGTGTTGGACTGGATGGGCCACTGGCCTGATTCAACACGGCTTCTCTTATGTTCTTGAGTATTTGCCACGATGGCTAAATGGAACCTCCCTGTTCAGAGGCAGCATACCAGAAAATACCAGGTGCAGGGAGCAGGGAGTGCTGTTAATGTCCTGCTTTGTGGCTTCCTGGAGGTATCTGGCTGGCCATTGTTGGAAACAAGAGGTTGGACTAATCCTGCAAGGTTTAATTCGATGCTGCCTGAAGATCAGATTCTCTTGAATTCCCACTTGTAATTTAACCCTTGATTTCTACAGCTGTGGCCAGCCAAAGGGCAATCTGAAGACTATGCTTCAGGAATGAATGCCAGTTATTATCAATTTCAATTGCTGGCTAGGACCCTTTCACACATTATGGGTGTAGCAAATGGGACACTCCGCTAAATACACTCACCAGGGAGTAGCAGCCTATCTATGCACCCTGATAAGACTACTGATGTGATACACAATTGGAAATGTATGCTCATTCCATGTGTGAGGCAGCCCTAAAAACACAATTTTCAGCTGGCTCCCCCAATATCTATAGGTGTCAGCTATGGATAGTTTCCGGGAAAATGCCATGTGGTTTATAGGCCTAGGGTTCGCCTGCCTGACCTGTGTAGGAGTTGGTGCCACATTCCTTTCCTCTGGCTTCTTCCCTGGTTATCTCTGACCTTGTCCTCCTGCTTGTAGTGTATTCAAAGCTGCCTTGAATGCATGATATGTTGTGAAACATCTAATTGAAGTGTAATGTAAAGCTTCGTCCTGGGCTAGGATCCAAATCCATCCAATCGTGTTACTAGCCCAGGAA